TTCATATATGACAGGTGTCCTGCACACTGCTAGGATCAACGCTATCGAAGTCATCGTGAGTAGTGATAAATTAATAAAGATGGTGAATTTTAAGCTCGAATTTTAATCGCATCGATTCCTGTCGGGGACTCAGAATTTTTCTTTGTCCCACGCTCGTGCCATGTTGATTAATTCACCTTAACAAGGGTGTATGATGTTCATTAGGATATAGAACCCTTCTTAATTAACTTTCACATTTTAATTGTGGCTGATGAACTTCGGTTGAGCCAAACGAAATATTCTACTTTTATTTCGCCGCGAGTACAGGAAATTAATTCAAAACCTTGGAAACTAGAATTTCGCACTAACTGGAGCAAAAATTTCCCCTCGAACGTGGTATCTTACATTTATTGCAATTTTACCCTCAGTAACTCGAACTTTCGATAACTCGAAATGATTGTAGTGTCCCTTCAGGTTATTTTCGTTAAAATGTTATTGTGGATAAGTCAAGTCATATTTACTTATAAGTCCAATGAGTCAAAGCTCTTCTAAAACATCAACAGAAATGGCCTGCTGGTTGCCTAGAGACACCGAGTCAGGGACTATTAACGGACCATTTAATTTGTGACAAGAATACTAATTCGCAGTGTTGCAACTACCTATAGCTATTACAATGGACAATCGCAAAATTCTTTTCCTTCTTTGTTTTGTTTTTTATTCCTTTCAAACCACTTATGGTTAATTTTGTTGGTAGAGAATCGTTCTAGTGTCACTCTTTCTCTGAGCGAAACCTGATCAAAAAGCAGACCGTTAGATTAGACAATTTCCGATCATTTATTCTCAGTACAGGTAAATCGAACTCTCGGATAACTTGAACCTTTTCCCGTCTTCTCTTGGAGGTTCGAGTCATCGTAATCTCAGCGTGCTCTAACCTAGCCTGCACAAACGACCTCTGCTCAGTTTGTTTAGGTGGTCAGTTCTTCGTTGAACTGTCCAGTTGCTATTGTCGTACAGAATGTTGCGTAGACTCAGCTTGCAGTGCAACCAGTCCTTTATTAAACTACTGACAAGCATACGACCATGTATGGCATAGAAACTTTGACACTTCGAATGACAGCTCAAAAGGCTTTTGACATTGTTTTTTCTTCACTGATTCAATAAGCACCTTAATTTAAATTTCAGTCCCAGAACACAATTCTGCAATATTGAAACATCGCCATGTTTACTTAAGCCCAAAGAACAAACGGTCCCGAACAACTCCCCAGCAATTCTAATGCTTTGCGGTGCGGTTGTTTCCTAGGTGATTAAAGGGGAAGTCCTTGTATTCTAGCTATAATCATTTGAAGCTTCCTGCGGTTTTATTTTAATTAACCTAAAGACCTTAAAAATTCCGAAACGATTAAAAACAACAAGTTTCGGTGCCTTTGGAGATTGTCACAGACAGAAATATTTGTCAAATAATTGCTGTAGATGAGGAGGTGCAGCTTTGTCGCTAACAATATTTAAAAGTGATTCTGTTCTGAAGGCCCGTGACAACCTGTGTTATTAGGTTTACTCAGAAGGACTCAACGTAAAACACAGTATGTAATCTCCGTCCACATTTGTTTGCTTGTATAGGGGGTAAATTCATTCAGAATTTTTTATTAAAACTGTGGTGACATGGCCGGTTGGTTATCAAACAAGCAAAGTCAATTTTACCCCCACAAATTTCTTTGAGGTATAGTAAAAAAGATTATCCTTCTCCTCCGGCAGGGTAAATAATTTCGGACACACCCTAAAAAAATGAAAAATTTACAAACTTAAATGTTGAACAAGACCGTTTTTTAAACCGTTTTGAAAACAGTACGTTCGTAAAATTAGGCGCCTGCCAAAAAAAGCCATCATTACTTAGCACAGCAATAAAGCGCTGATGAAAAAGCAGAAACTGATTGCTTTAAAGCGAGCGGAAATTCGCAATTATCAGAAATTAAGCTTGGAAACTAACTTGATCACTTTTTATTCCATTTCGAGAAGCAATTTAAACTCGTAGCAGTTGGGGTCCGAATACTCTCTCTAGTTAAAAGTCGTTCCTGACTGTTTCATTGCCATTGCTTATGTTTCACTCTTGAGTAACAACACGCACTCCATTGTTGATTGAATGTTCCAATTGTTAGTCACGGTTGGCAGGTTTTCAAACAGGGAATGACCGTTCCAAAATATTAAATTGCTTGTGTCAGCCAATGAATGCTTTTTCTGCCGGAAGCGTTTCTAGCAACGGTGGCATAATGTAAAATAGATATAGCTGGACTTAATAAAAACAAACTGACGCAGGCTGAAGTTCCCGCGCACAAACTTGGGGACACCGGAGTGAATAGTGAATTTTCCCTCTTTGCGTTGTCAAGAGCGCTTTATAGTACCAGTTAACTGGCTCGACGAATGAAACCACCAACTTCGAAAGCTAGAGAAGAGAGTTAATTTGTGATGTCCACAGAAGAGTGTAGTGGGGAACTTGAATACGTAACGTCCATTTTTCTCGTGGTGCTCCATGCTGTATCTGGTTTTCTGTCAATTCTCGGCAATGTTATAGTTCTCCTCTCGGTTTACCAAACCCCAACATTACACACAGTGTCAAATTACTACATTGCATCGCTCGCCGTTGGAGATTTCCTTGTCGGTGCGGTAATCAGTCCACTTTGGGTCGCTAAAAGCGCTCTTAATGTCTGGCGGAATCAGCACCCTTTGACTGTGGCAGCAGAAATAATGTCCATGCAGACACTGATAACGACTACTTTCAACCTGGCCGCGGTCAGTTTAGATCGATATTTAGCCATAACGGATGCTTTTTACTACATGCGCGTGATGACGATGCGCAGTTGTGTCCTCGCCGTTTCTTTCATTTGGGTGTTCTCGTTTGCGTTCTCCTTTCTCCGTTTGCTAGTCACTGAGCCGGTGGACCTACCAAAACTTTGGATAGCCGTGGCGATTGTTGGTTACACTCTTCCATTTGCGGTCATAAGTTACAGTTACTATCACATTTATAAAGCAGCCAAAAGCCAGTCTAGAAGGATTGAAGCTGAAGCCCGAGCCGTTTCTGTGGTTTCCGAGGCGGGCCCTAGCGATCCAACGACCTCTCAAACGAAGCGCAACCGAAAAGCGGCCAACACGATTGGGATAATAATCGGGATTTACCTTCTCATGGCTTCTCCGAGCATGGTCATCACTGGAATTCAACTCCTAACAACAAATGACTGTTTGAAGATCCGCATCATTCGATACTGGTTCTGGGGAGCGCTGTGTTCGTTTGGCAGTTCCGCGGTAAACCCTTGGATTTACGCGGCAAGGAATCGGGATTATAGGCAAGCTTTTAAACGTGTTTTCAAATGCTGGTTCTCTAACACAACATCAATGAACGCTGTGTCTTCATTTCGCGGTAGACACTCAAGTAGTCAGTGAGATATCCGACTCGAGATGAAACGAGCTTTTGCTACAGTCTGGCAACTAAGTCTTTTAGTCCAAAAAACGACAACACTTCAATAACCTAGAGAAAATTCTAGTAAAAATTATAAGCTTATTTTAAATATTTATCACGCAATAAGCGCTTCTATTTCATTTTATTTTATTGCATCTTTATGTTAACCTGACTTTGTAGAAGGAGTCAATAATGGTAAAAATTGTGAAATAATCAAGGCTGCCCGGCTTTAAGAATAGACTCGCTGAATAAATTAAAACTTGTGCCTAACTTTAGTCCATGAATTTAGAAGGACATTGTTTAAGCTTCGTGTGGCTTTAAACGTCTCAGTTCGTCAGTGAATTTCTAATATTTCATTTGCCGTAATTGAGAAACTCTCGTATATGAATGCATTTGCCTGAATGGAAAAGTTTCCTTTGAACATTGATTAAACCGCTAACTGCGGTTTGTATTGGTGATTCGCGTTCTTAAAACTAAGATATCGTTGACTGCCTTTAGCTATTACGTTTTCGGCCGGATTTTGTGATTCATCAGAGCAATATTGATAATGGATACTTAGAAAGAGTGAAAAGGGCCAAAACAAAATCCCCTAATGCTGTTTTGGGATAATTTGCAAGTTATAATTACGTTCGTGGTTTCAAGAGAGCCTCTTTCAGCTTCTTTGTCAAACAGAACATACTATGTTTACGTACACCAAAGAGCACTTTTCAGTTTGTCAAAGTTTATTTCTCTAGTATTAGATGTTCCGTGAGGTGGGTCTTTAAATAATAGAAGTAAACGTCGAATAAGAGGAAAAATTAACAAAACAAAAAAAGTAGCATATGACCGGCAGATGCCACTGAATTTGTTTTCGCGTCAATTCGCCATGGGATTCTTGCTCAATATGTTAATGTGTTACTGTTTGTTTGACGTATTTTTTAAAAAACGTTGTCAGGTACCATAGTGTTTTTAACGTTTTGCCAGTTTTTCAAACATAATAGAATCGTTTTTAAATGATTCGAGTTCAAAGTGACTGTGTGAGTTGTATTTTGTTGTCCTTAATTTGGGGGAACCGGTAGTAGGTAAATGAAAAGGCCGCGATTAAAATTGGAAATAGGATGTTTTCGCTATGAATCTCAAGGTTGCCACAACCTCTTTTTCTCTACATCTCACTATTTCTCCGGTTTTTTTAGAAGCCCTCGGCAAAGGAAACACCGTTCTCTCGCCTGCGCAGCTGGAAGCACTTCCTCAGGAGAAACTGTAAAAAGAAAAGGTTTAATTCCAAATAAAAGGTCAACAATCTTCCTCTTGGTCCACATTCCCCACACGACGCATGATTTGGCCAATTCACGTTGTGGTCGTGCAGAAATATATCACTTAAAATGTTATGAGTACAGTCTGCGAAAGGTCTTCAGTACCCGTTTCCATCAGGCGTATTCAGCAAGAGCGTGAATTGCTTGCTCTGTATCTAGCTCGAACAAACGTTTTGTGTTTTATTTTTGGAATACTCAGTAAATGTTTGAACATCTTCCAGACTGTTCACCGTAGGGCACTTTCCGCTGCTAAAGAAAACCTTTTTTTTTACAATTACCTGTTCCCGTCAATACAGTGTACGCTTCTGGTGTCCGGATGTTCTTGAAGAAGTTTTGGAATGTATATAACGAGAAACAGCGTGAAATAAAATGGCGCCAGGGGAAGCCAAATAGTAATTACGTATGTAATGCAAAATGCGCGAAAATCCTGTTGATTAACACAACGATTTCGTGGCGTGTACACTTTCTCATAAAAGAGATATCTATTCCAGACAAACGGTTTAGCTGAACCCTTGGATAACTTATTCTTCACATGATCAACGTACGCCACGCGAGCAAAAGTGTTTTTTCGAATGCTTCAAAAAATCTACTTGTTACACTCTACTGTTTCCTTATCTACAAGCCCATGCTGAGCGAAACCTTTGTTAAGAAACAGAAGGATGGCAAAGTGAACAGTGTTTTTCATCCAATGTGATTGTCTGATTTATTTTGAGCGAACCTTCAGATGTTCGCTTCTAAGTCGTGGTTTGGAAAAATATTATTAAAAATAGCTAAAAATAAAGATTCATAATTATTAGAGAAGAACGTCGAGGAATAGTTAAATTTTACTGCACTAAAAGTACTCAGTGTATATCTACCTAGCTAGTTATCTATAAAAGATTTTAAAGTTAAAAAACGAACAAGCGTTTCAATGGCCTTTGGGAAAAGAGATGTGGAAAGCGTTTTTGTTTCGAGTAGAGTTCGGTTAATTTTACTCAAGAGTTTTAAATTTGTAAACTGATGGTTAGAAAACATATCGTGACATTTGCTTGACAATTATTTATTTAATAGTTGAAAACAAGTTCTGCTTTTGACTGCCGAAAAAAAGACGACAAGAAATGAAATTTGAATTTCAAGTAGTTGTAAAAAAAAAATTCAACATGGTTACCAGGGCCCGCTCTTTCACTGCTCATAACCGATTCAGGCCAGGAATGTTTCTCGCACATGCTCACTGTAAAACCCAAATGAAGAGTCGCAACCAAAACACGTGACAAACTCTGAAAAAAACAAATAGCTTACACAGCGACTATTCTCTGGGACAGTATCCCTACGCAATGCCTTCAACGTTTTTAAACAACCGAAGTTATATTTACTGTCTGAAAAACATTATGAAAACTTGAATTGATTTTTTCCATTCTGTATTCTGTCAATATCCATAGCAACCTTAAAAATACTGGAGATTGACTGGGAAACTTTCGGGTTACCTCAGCCTCCAAACTCAAATATACATTTTTCTGTCCATCTATTTATATTTATATATATTTTTGTAAAATTGTAAATTTATGAGTAGATTAAGTTGTTGTTGTTGTTGTTGATGAATATCGTAAATTTTATTTCTAAGTGTTTCTCATTCAATAACTACCCGTCTTGTCCCGAAGACAAATAAGCGCATGTTTGTTTCCCAAAAATGCTGTATCCAGTGGAGATAATTAACATCTTTACTCGGTATTATCATGAGGCTAACTGTTTTTGTCCCAATAGTATTGTGTCGCCTTCTACACTTTCTAACGTTACAGCCCTGTAAGGTTTAAGGCGGAATCCACCAGAAGTTCGAGTAACAAGTCGACAAAAACCTAGTACCAAGATTATTTACATCGTATTGCAAACTTCTGTACGACTGTTTTAAATATCTTCTCAAAAAAAAAAAAAATCATTTCAGGCAACACCAAACATCGAAAACGAATGTTGAACTTCACATGAAACACTTGAAAGTACTGGCAAAATGAACCAGATGATGAAATTTTGCCTCTGTTTGCACAAGTTCTCTGAACTTTGAAATTTATTTTCTCTCGTTCCAATGGGAAATTTTTTTCGGTGTTATTTCAGGCAATTATTTATGTATTAACAATGATTTAGTAATACATAGGCAAGTAAAAACAAACGATATAATCTCCCGACGTTTCGGCGACCTCATGACGCCATTATCAAGGGTACAAATGAGAACTGAGGACCTCCTCAGCTGTTTCAAAGTTCTCAAGAAATGCATGAACAAATTCGATTGTCTTGTCAACGAGATGCTTTACATCAAACAATTAACACTGA